TACATCTTATTTCAACAAATAATTTTTAATTTCCGCATGTATTATTTATTATGTTATTAATTGTATTATTTATTTATAAAAATTTTTGGATAATCACGTATTGCAATTAGAAAATTAGAATTAACTGCAACAAAACCAGACAAGTGAACAAAGAAATTTCAGGGATCGAAAAATTTGCAAATTAGTCGACATCAGTCAATTACAATGGAAATTTTTTTTACTAATGAATTTACCTAAAATCTTATTGGCTAATTACGAGGATTCCTAACATAAATATACTAATTCATCGACCGCTCTGATAATCTACAGTCAAACCAGGACCCCGAACATGGTACATTTGAAAAAATCCCCACTTTATTACCATTTTTGGAAATAATTTACGAGATCGTTACAAAATTTATCCTAATTAAGAAATGATATTCGATTTTGAGGGCCATTTCTACCCAGAATCGAAATGTATCTCTCCTATATAAGATTGTTCGGGGTCCTGTCAAACCTCGTTATAACGAATTTAGAACTAATACAAATTTAGAAAGTATCTGTAGAAATATTAGATATTTCTACAGATCATTTCTAAATTTGTACTAGTTTAAAATTTGGTAGAACTGTATGGTGATTCCAAATTTCGAGTTTCTGGAGTCTCAGCTAAACCTTTTAACAGGGGATATGGGCAGTTTTGTGGTTAAAATCAGGATTTTGTACCTTATTTTTAATTAGTAAGTTGGGCCATGGCCATGGTTAGCCAGCTAGAGGATAAAACTTAGGGATCAACTGTCTCAAATTTTGTGGTTCAACCTATCCATGTTTTGATCCTTAAATTAGCTGTTAACTAGTGATATTAGCTGGTTAAGAAATTTATCAGCTTAGCCGGCTTGAGCCAATCAATTCTATTCTCAATATTCATTCATTTGTAATGCTGCCAAAAAAGAAAAAGAAAACTAATCTACAAAATAAGCAATTAATTAGTTCAACACTTGTAGCAAAGCAAATTCTTGGTCTTGCATAAAAATATTACAATGGGTTAAATAACAGTAGTAATATTAATAGTATTAATAGTAGTGGTAGTAGCAACATTAATAATTGTTTTAGTAGCAGTAGTAGTAATAATCGCAGCAATGATAATAATAATAGTAATGATAATAATAGTATTAATATTAATGGTAGTAATGGTATTATTAATAATAGTAGTGATGATGATGGCAATATTAATAATAATAGTGATGTTGAACAATTAAATAATGGTGAACAATTATACGATGAAAGTGACTTTGATTGGATAAATGGATCAATAACTGGCGAAGAGTTTTTTAATAGAAAAAAATTATATGAAGAAGGTATTAGTGTAAACTTCAATTCTTTTTTTTCTAATGTATTGACTGGTACTTCTAGAAAAAAGTAGTCCTACCAAATCTAGCAGTTCAAGCTAGGGTTTATTTAGCTATACCAGCAACCTCTGTTCCATCTGAGAGGTTGTTTTCCTCAGCTGGTAATGTCTTCACAAAAAAAAGAAATAGATTGAACCAAAATAATTTTCATAATATACTGTTTTTGAGAGAAAATTATAAACTTTTTGATCAATAAGTTGGTTAATTTTTT